TTTTTGAGTGGCCAGTTTGCCTAAGTGATCCCTAACCCAATCCTTCTCAACCCGCGGAAGGTCTTCCTTTAGCCCATTTATATCTCTTCTATTGGAGCCCTGCAGTTCATGGGGGGTTGCCTTAGCAKTAARGACAGAGGCAAAGAAGGCATTTAGTAACTCTGCCTTCTCGGCATCCTCCGCCACCAAGGCCCCTTCCCCATTCAGCAGTGCACTAACATCTTCCCTTGTCTTCCTCTTGCTATTGACATACTTATAGAAACCCTTCCTGTTGTCCCTGACTTGCCTCGCCAACTMCAATTCCACCCGGGCTTTGGCCTTCCTCGTTTAGCATCTGCAATCTCTGACAATGYGCCTGTATTCCTCCCACGTGGCCTGTCCCTTCTTCCACAAGCTGTACACTCTTTTTTTTTCCATTCACTTTGCCCAGTAATTCCTTACCCATCCATACAGGTCTCCTACCCCGCTTACTCGACTTCTTTTTTGTGGGAATACACCTATCCTGAGCTTGGAGGAAGTGGCGCTTGAATATCAGCCAGCTCTCCTGGACACCCTTTCCTTCTAGGACCCTGACCCAGGGAACTGCTCCAAGGAGCTCCCTGAAGAGGTCAAAGTCAGCTCTGTTGAAGTCCAGGGTAGCTATCCTACTTCTCGCCCCACTTCCTCCACACAGGATTGTGAATTCCAACATCTCGTGGTCGCTGCAGCCCAGACTGCCCCCAACCCTCACATTTTCCACTAGACCATCTCTGTTTGTTAGTATCAGGTCTAGCAGCGCCCCTCCCCTTGTTGGYTCCTCAACCACCTGCGTCAAGAAGTTATCTGCAATGTTCTGCAGGAACCTCCTGGACTGTCTGTTCCTGGCTATGTGGTTTTCCCAGCAGATATCAGGGTGGCTGAAGTCCCCCAGGAGGACCAGGGCCTGTGATCGGTAGGCTTCCCGCAGCTGCCCATAGAAGGCTTCGTCCACTTCCTCATCCTGGTCAGGAGGCCTGCGGTAAACTCCCACGACCGTGTCGGCCCTGCTGGCTTGCCCCTTTATCCTCACCCACAGGCTCTCTAGCCACGTTCCATCCTCTCCTATGCTGAGCTCTAAGCATTCCAGTTGTTCCCTCACATAAAGAGCAACTCCGCCACCTTGCCTGCCTGCCCTGTCYCTCCTGAAAAGCCTATAGCCCTCCATGGCCACATTCCAGTCATGGGAGCTGCCCCACCATGTCTCAGTAATTGCGATGAGATCATGGCCCTGTAGCTGCACATGCATCTCCAATTCCTCTTGTTTATTCCCCACGCTGCGTGTGTTTATGTAGAGGCATTTGAGCGGGGCTCCCCATGTGCCTCTCCTCCTTGTCGGGACAGCTGCAGCCTGACTGGGCGGGCTCTCACAAGCTCTCCTATTTTGCCCTAAGGGCCCTTCAGTCCTAGAGGACCCTTCACAGGCCACAGCTCTAGATTGCTGTGGATGGTGTGACGGGCCATCAGGCACCATCTCATTTGCCACCCCACGGATACCCCCCTCCCCTCTCGAATCTAGTTTAAAGCCCTCTTGATGAGCCCAGCTAGCTCCTGMCCCAGGGCCCTCTTCCCCCTTTGAGAAAGGTGGACCCCATTGGGTGCCATCATGCCTGGTGCCATGTAAGACTTCCTGTTACCAAAGAAGCCAAAGTTGTGGCGATGACACCAGTCACAGAGCCCCATGGTAATGGACTGTACCCTATGATTTCTGTCTGTATTGCCGGCCGCACTGGGAAGTATGGAACAGAAGATGACCTGCGTGCCTGTGTCCCTGATCGTYCGCCCMAACTCCCTAAAGTCTCTTTTAATTGCTCTCAGGCTACACGTTGCCGCCTCCTCTGTCCCACATGTAGGACCATTAAGGGATAATAGTCCGTAGGTCGGACCAGCCTGGGAAGTCGTCTGGTGACATCTCTAATCCGGGCCCCAGGAAGACAACAGACCTCTCTTGAGAGAGGGTCGGGTCTTGCTTGAGAGCAATCGGTCCCTCTGTTCCCTGAATCTGGGAATCACCCACAACAATAACCCTCCTATTCTGCCTCCTGTCCACGGTGACAACCTGCGCAGCTGGCCTTACTGACCGCAGCACCTCCTCTGGAGGGGAGGGAGCCACCCCCTCACCCTCCACCGACTGCCCTRCCTCCTTCAGTTTCACCTCACTCTTACGAGAACTCAGCACAGAGTAGTAGGATCTAGTTCAGAAACACTGAAGCATCAAAATATTTCAAATGACAGCTGTGACCTATAAAAGAGAAGTCCTCAATATTGCTGAATCCTGAAGCCATATGTGTAGGAGGAAGTTATCACGTCACAAGCTGAGTAAACAAAAGTCATTACTTTTTTTTTCCCTATCTTTAAAGAAAATTGGCTGACAACTTAGTAACCTCGCAATTACTTCTGAAAGCAAGCATTAAAGCAGGAACAAACAGACACACAAATGACAAATCATTAAAACAAATCTTATAGAATAGGGAAAAAAAAAAAGAGGAAGTGGAAAAAAAARRAAAAAAAAAAGGAAGCTTGTTCTGCCACAAAACTAGTGGTCTGATACTTGAGCATGCTGCTTTCACAGCAAGCAACTTGGAAGCATTATGTGATATAGGAAGAGGGGCAAATATGTGCCTCAGACATACTAACAAAGAACCTAATGAATGTTATTTCCAGCAATAACTTCCATTTAACAGAAAATTGGAGGAGAAAAGCATACAACAATATCAGCATTCATTTCTACATTCTTCATACCTCTCTTCTTCACCCTCCAGCAATTTCCGGTACGCGTTGATTTCCATATCCAGGGCCAGTTTAACATCCAGAAGTTGTTCATAGTCATTCAATTGCTGCTGCATCTGATCTCTTATCTCCGCCATTTCCCTCTCCTTGTCAGAGAGCATTCTGCGACAGTTCTCCCTTTCCTTAGCCAAGGTGTCCTCAAGCTCTTGCATTCTATCTTGCCATGCTCTAGACTAAAAGAATAAAAACATTGAAAGACACATCACTGATGCAAAAAAAGGTTCACTCACACCTTCGAATGTTTTGCTATTGACACATCCTAGAACTTGAAAGAAAGATTAGACTTAGCACCCCTCACCACTTTTTCAATTCAATCTCCCTTTAATTTTCTATCTGCCACCTCATCTTCTACAAACATAATGTATTTTGTYTCAATGAAACTTGCACCTGTCCCATACTTGAGCGAATGTCCRTGCAACACTTAAGCAGACAAGCTAGCTGTACCTTTCCTCAAACTCTGAAGAAGCATTGCTGGAAGTGAAGTTACTCAGTCACAGAAAAACAAAAATAAACAAAAAAACTCATGAAGTTTACAAGTTAGGCTGTGTTTAACACATGCTGGATGGTATGTACAATGAAAACTCTGCTCAATACTTCTGAGTCTACAATAAATAATTTCTCCTTAGCTTCCAAATTTTTGTTGCTTGTTTAAGTCTGCTGCTGCAGATTCCAAGTTCTATAGGAAGATAACTCTGAAGAAATAGGGGTTATTCTCAGTTAATGACCGTCTATTATTAAAGTCTTCAAGGCTTGCAAGCAGTACAGTGGTAACTGGTCCATGATAAAAGTTAGTTTCTCACACACTTAAAAAAAAAAAAATTCACATCAGCCAATATGTATGTACTGTACACATAGAATGGTATGCTTATTAAAAATTATYCAAGTGATGTGACCTTTAAGGTTTACTTTCCCTGAGCATTTTTTTCTTCTGCTTAGCAGCTTCTTGTGGTATTTTAATTAAAGGATAAACATGGGAAAAAGTGCCTCAGCCAGAATGATCTTGTCTGGTTAAGCCACCACCTTTGCTGGGCAGGTACCCCRTTCAGAAAGCCACCACAGTCTAGGCACAGTGAAAATGGGCAGTTTCAAAAGACTGAGGTAAAGTACCAGTTTAACTAGTTGTCGAGTCAGATAAGGAGCTGAAGAAGGACAGTTTGAAATGTCACATGAAAGATCCCACTGGAAGTCACTAAAGAGCAAAGTGTTGGTAATTTAAAACAATCCATCATTAGTGAAAGAGTTGCCTTCTTCCAAGTCAACAAAGCTAGTTAAAGTTAGTGACAGTAAACAGACAGTAATCTAACTTCTTGGTGTTCTTTAAGCTGATGTCATTSACGCTAAAAGATAGCATACCAGCAATATRGACTTTCTTGGCAGATAATTACAGTCCACTGATAAAAGATGATTTTGATTAGCTCTGAATTACACAACCAATTACTACAAATTACTCCACAGATTCAGATGCAAGTCATCTGAACCCTGCTCCCACTCCCAAGAAGTCAACAGAACACACGTTTAACTACATTCCACAGTCTCAATTTACTACAGAACAGAGCTAAAGTGTTTGAAGGACAAGGGGCAATGAGTACAAGCTGCAACATAGGCAGTTCCATCTCCATGTGAGGAGGAACTTCTTCCCTGTGAGGGTGACAGAGCCCTGGCACAGGCTGCCCAGGGAGGCTGTGGAGTCTCCTTCTCTGGAGATCTTCCAAACCCACCTGGATGCCGCCCTGTGCCCCGTGCTCTGGGTGTCCCTGCTGGAGCAGGGGGKTTGGACTGGATGATCTCTAGAGGTCCCTTCCAACCTCAAGCATTATGTGATTCTGCGCAGTGTGATAAAGCTAAATTGTTCAAAGTGTGAGAGAGAATTAACAGGGAACTTTTGCCTAATGTTGCCTCATCCATCTAGAAAATAATGCAAGACTTTTGTTTGTTTTCTACAGAATCGAATGCAGTGAGACCAGATTCTTACATAGCTTTAGGATGTATTTTTTTTTTTCTTTTTCTCCTGCAGTTTACAATTTTTGTATGAAACAGCATTTCACTATTTCTTAACAAGATTAAGCCCCTTCTAAAATATCACAGTGGCATGCATCTCCAACAAGTGAACTCAATGAGACAAAGCCTGAAATTCTGGCTACGGTCTACAAAGCCTTTGAGGCTGACTCAAAACTAACATCTACAAGATCAGCTATAACTCGGAAGACAGATTGCCCTTGTGTTTAGAGTAATACCAGAATAGATGTAGCAAAAAGAGTTTCACTTCAATTTTGTTCAGCAACTGATCTTTGTTACTCTTAAATACAGTGTATTTTTTAGGCAGAAGCTAAGGAACAACAGTAGCCTTCAGAAACTTGCAGATGAAGATTATTACACGAAACAGTTCAACTGCACCAAAAAGAAATTAAGGAATTTTAAAGTTATAGAACAGTAAAACAGAAACAAACACAAGCCATGAAAGTGAATATACTAACAAGTTAGGGGGAAGAAAGTGTTTTATATTAAAAACTCCATTTAACCAGACTGAAGAGTCACAGATAACTCATTACCTCTCTCTGAAGGCTGGCAAGCTGGGAAGACAGATTTTCAATACGCATACGACTTTCTGTCAGTTCTTCTCTTACTGAATTGGCTGTAGAAGTGCTCATCTCAGAGGACAGTCTAGCATTCTCAAGCTGCAGTAAATCACATTAAGACATCAGTTTCAAAACATCTTTTATTAAAAGAAAAATAAGTTAGCAAACAAAACCACACAGAGCAGCAAGCCACGAAGTTCCTCTCTGCAGCTGTAACACAATGAAACATCTCTCTTTTTTAGGGTGTTAAATATGGTTGCTCAATTACCTTTCTGGATTAAGCTAAACAAAACCACAAGCCTTTAGAGTATTTATTCTAGAATAAAATACTGGTTAAGGTCTCCCTTGCAAGCTTTATTCAAGTTGCATTACTAAATCCACTGTTTCTGTTAGCCAATATTTATATCRTCAATTACTACAGTACTTTTTAATATGCTTGAATGTAAAAAGTTAAACCACAATTACCAATTCCTCAAAGAAACATCATAGACTAATGTTAGTTTTCAAATCAATGTAAGCATGTTGGCAATATGACTAAAGTTTACACTACCGGTGCCCTGAGTCACCACTTCTTCATTCTATCACTACTTCAGACTCAATTTTATCTGTTTTCAGTGTTTAATCATCTGCGGACACTGAGTTTTTCAATTAGCTACAACAGCACTGTTCAGTAACACTACATCTACTTAAGTAGCACTACAGACAAATTATTGAATTTAGTGCCTCAGATAAAATGAAATCTAAAAATCTGAATACAGGGACACCCCTTAGGGAATGAAAAAGGCTTAGTTATATATTTTTCTAAGATAAATAAGAAAAGTCTAAACCAAGWATTTTTGACTAGACTAGTATTTTTGCAGTCATTTTCTTTCCTCCAGTTTCTTCAAGTCAGATTGAAGCCACAAAGATAGGCAACTGCACATTATTAAGACATGATTAAACACTGAAAACATAAACTAACAAATTCAGTTTGTATTGACTTTTACCTGCTGTAAGACTCCGCCTGGTCTCCAGAGCTACTAGCTATGAGAACTATAGCCACAGAAACCAGGTTCAGTTGAGATACCACATTATTCTTACAAGAAATGCTGAATTGTAGTAGAGGAAGGAAATTACAAAGTATAACTGATTTCAGTTCAAAAAACTTTTTTCACTCTAGGGGCGTGAAAAGGAGAAGTCATTGGGTGTGGTAAAGTCTCTGTCCAACAGTCACATATAGGATCAGAGTACTCAGAAGGCTGTTTTTTCAGCCTCTTTTTCATGAAGCAAACTTTATGCAAAATATATAACTAGAATCAATAGTGTGTTAATGCACTAAATTTAGAATAAACAAATTCTATTTCACTTCAAAATATGTCCAGTAACTGTCCATTGTCACTTTTAAAGTAAATATAGTGGATTTTTTTAGGCAGAAGCTAATGAACAGTGCTAAGTTTCAGATACTCACAGCCGCATTGTATTACACAAAATAGTTCAACTTTCCATTCACAGTAAGCCTAGCACTAATCACTTCTAGTCAGTTCACTTTTATGCAAATCATCACCCTAATTCAGTAGCTATACTGCTGTGCTTCCCAAGGTGTAACCTGGCTCCTCAAACGAAGCCTGAAAATGCAAGTTCATAATCAAAAGCACAGTAATTTTAAACAAAGCTACAAAGGGAAATTCTCTGAAACGATCTCTAGGTTATCCTCCCTTTAAATAAAGGAAAAGGAAAATATGTCAGAAAGCTGTATGATAACATGTTCTCACTTTGGCATGGTAAGTCTGTTCCAGCTCTTCTTTGTATAGTTTGACTTGTGCATCATGCTGCTCCCTTATTTCATGAAGTGCTTGAGCAAGTTTGTGTTCATACTCAATTTGACGCCCAGAATCAACTTCAACTAGGCGAGTTTCATGTTTTCTTCTTGTTTCATTGATTTCCTAAGGAAAAAAAGAAGAGAAAAATAATTTTCAGTAAGTAATAGACAAAACAAAATTTAGAACACTATCAGCCAAGAGCAATTTATTTTCTTCAACAAGCAACACAGCTTTTAGCTAGCTTTGCAGATAAGCATGAGAGTAATTTATATTTGGTAGTGTTTCTACTGAAATGAATTAACAGTAGTGAAAGATTGGAAGTTGGGACCTTTTCCCTAAGTGCTCCCTAGAACAATCTTTGCTTCTATTATTATAAAGTTATGAAACACAAAATTTTAAAAAGTTAATAAGCACCTTTTTTAGTGCCATCTTATATCCCATGAGGGTGACAGAGCCCTGGCACAGGCTGCCCAGGGAGGCTGTGGAGTCTCCTTCTCTGGAGATCTTCCAAACCCGCCTGGATGCCGCCCTGTGCCCCGTGCTTTGGGTGTCCCTGCTGGAGCAGGGGGTTGGACTAGATGATCTCTACAGGTCACTTCCAACCTTAATGATTCTGTGACATGAAGACATTTCTAGCAAAACAAAACAAAAGGTTTACTTTTAATTACTATGAAAATAGATGTACATGGCAACAGAGAAAGAATTTAATACAGAATATGGCACATAACACTATTAAAACTGAGGTTCACRTGTTATTTTTCTAAAATAGAAGACTGGGAACTTTCCAGCTAGAATGGAAGCAAATCCTGCTTTGAGTAGAAGTTCAGTTCCTCAAGTCCTTTCCTATCTAAAGTATTCTAGAACAAACCCCCATTTTTCTTCCTTTTAAAACTGAACTCTTGACATTTAATCACTTTACCTCCTCATACATATTTTTACGGAATTCCAAATCCTCAATCAGGCTCTGACAACGATTTTCAAGATCCACCTTCAGTAAAGTTTCGTCTGCAAGCTGACTCTTGGCAGCACCTAAGGAAATTTCAAGCTTTAAAAAAGAGAAAGGGAAAAAGGAATCAGCATGGCAAAAGTTATGGAGCAGAACTCACATGACACAAGGATCTCAATGAAAGGTAGCAGCTAATTACATTTAAACATTAACTAGACAAAAATAAAATTTAAAGATACTTTTTTGTGTTTTCTTTTAACAGTTATTTATGCAAGATAATTCTATATGCTGCACTCACTTAGCTATCTTTTTAATGTCAGTTAAAATATTTTCATAAAAATCTTCAGTTTTTCTACTTGGCAAATAACTCCTAAACTGGTGCTATTGCCTAATGCTGTTAAGAACCACAAATCAAATATTGCAAAGGGTTTAGAACTTTATATAATAGAAAGACTAAACCTTTCTATAATATTCTCAGTTATATTAGAACTCCAAACGATGAATAATCATGTGCTCGTCTGCTTTTTGCAGTGCCATCCCATGAAATTTCACAGAATCTGCAATTTTAAGATGTGCTGTTTCACCACTCACACAGTTAGGAAGCCAACAGAACAATACTGAACGCAGTTACCTACTGAGTTCTTTCACTTCTGACAGCAAGCCATGATTTATTGCTAGTACTGATCAAATCAATGGTTTGCTTGTCTTTTTTTTTTTTTGCTTATGGAGTTGCATTTTATCAGAAAATGAAACACAGAATGAAATGTAGCTCTTACCATGGATATACTAGGTCTTTATAAAACACATCATTTGTTAGCAAAAGCTTGGCAGTGGACCCAATTCTTCTCACCTGTGCCATCTGATCTCTTAAATCTTCAAGATCCCCCTCCAGGCTTTTCTTATCACCAAGAGCTGTGGCCAGTGCAGCTTCTTTAGAGTTGAGAGCTGCTTCAAATTCTCTGATCTTGACTTGAGCTCCATTAAGATCAGATTCCTTTTTTGCGTAACTGGAATTAGCCAGAGAAAGTGATTACGAAAGTCTAGAAATGCCCCCAAGTATGCAAACAAGGTATATGCCAAATCTGGCATATACCAGATTTAAGCCGAAGAAAAACATTTAAATCACCGAAGAAAAACATTTTGTCTTGGCTTAATTTATTCCAAATAAACTGCTTAGCTCTCCTTTCTCACCCCATACAACAGCAGCATGATACTTGTCTGCACCATAGCAAGTCTAATCTAAAGGGAACACTTACAGAGTCAAAGGATTTTAATATTAAGATGTAAAGGAGAAGGGAATAGTGTGTTTGTAATTAAACACACCTTTTGCAGTCTTTTTACATAATCATCATAAAAGGCCCCATCTTCATCAGAACCTTAAMAAGAGATAGAAAGGAAGTTTCCCTATTAGAAGACCCCTCCCATAGGGTAGGAGCAAATAATTTTTCCACATTTCCTTTTATCCGTGTGGGAATTCAGGTGGATTTGTCATCTGGATTCCTCTTTCCAATTAACAGACCAACTTCTTGATGGAAGTTACATTCAGCATTTTTAAGTCAATTTTCCATTAGTAGAAGCTGTAGCCTACCGAACTGCTTTGCAGCATTCTTCCATGTAATACATACATAATAGTAAAGTTTTGTAATCACAACAAAAATATCCAAATCCTGTCTACACACTAGTCTGTGCCATTAATGAAAGTGCGCTGGTCAAGAGCTGTCGGTGCCATTGCCTTCAAGAAGGCAGACACTGAAGTTTTTCAAATCATCACTCAAATTAGTTTTCTTATCWATACAAGCAGCTAAACAGTTTCCAGGGGAGTTGTACCCTAGAACAAACAAACATAAACTTAGACAAGCAGAGAAAACAAAAGAAAACAAGGAAAGTATGTCTACACAATAACATGCTCTTCAGCTTTAGTTAATTTACTCTTGTGAGTGAAAACAACACTCTTCTTTCTCAGATCATTCTTTTTTCTCTGGGCTATCCACACACCTATATCTGGCTAGGACTGTAACAAAGAAAACTCTCAAGTTTTATAATAAAGTTAGAAACATTTCATACAAAGCAACAAGCTAAGGCGGGCCAGAGAGCTGTTACCAGTTTTCCGTCCAGTTTTCACACTTACCTTTGTTAAAACAAAGAAAATCAGAATTCACAACACTAAACTCAGGAGACTAATGAGTAAAAGATTCTGAAGATGAAATTCAAGCTTTTTAAAGCATAAAAACATACACTACTATTTTAAAAACAAGATACTGCACTAACAAGAAAAAGCAGCAAAGCTTCTCAGTAAAATAAGACTAATAACAAATCAATATACAATTTTAAAAGGGAACCTTCTAATTTAAAAGGTATTTTTTCAATATGACATATAATCATGTGATCAACTTGGGAGAATGTTCCACRAAAACTTCAAAAAAAATCTGTCCAAGCAAAGCATATTTTTGAATGATATTACTTTACAGCCACAAGATGGCAGGCTTTATACAAAAGCTTTAGAACTCCCTGGCTACTCTCCAAAYTCTCACAAGTAATCCCATGTCCACGAAGGAGGCCCACTACTTGCCTTTTTTTTTTTTAAATATTAACTGATGACTATCTCTGCTGTTCAGGCACATCCAGGAGAATAGACCCCAAGAGTTGGGTGGTTCGTCCACAGATCAGACAAGAGCATGGAATTTCAGTTTTGGCCAYACTGTCTCCTACTTTCAACTCTCTCCATTACAGGGAAGGCTGACAGTCCACATCAGGCCTTTCTTGCTTGACCAGTGTTAAAGAAAGCTCACTCAAAACATACAGAGATAGCCTCACACATGCTGAGGTCAGCCAGACAAGCTCAGTCCCATGTAAACTGCAGTCATAGGCACACAGCTTGCTTCAGTTACCAGGCCTCCAGAAAAGCATCGTGCAGGGGGAAACATTCTCCATATTCCTTGAACTTCACATTATTTTGAACAGGAAAGGCAACTTTGAGAAGACATTAACACGGACTGACAACAATAGGCTGATTTAAAACCAATATGCTACCCACAGCCCTAAATTACTAGCTACATCAAGTCAAACTATTTCCCTTGTTTATGTTTGTAAGAAGTTTGGCTATGGAGGCATCCTATAATTTGACTGAAGTCAGAGAATGGACTATAATGGGGGCTATATTAAAATTGTTATGAGTTGCCTAATTAAAACTCCTCTGAACATACTCCAAAAGAAAAATAAATACGGCTCATGACCTCATACATTAAAATGCAGATGAAATTTCACTGTGTCATCCCAGCCCTAAAGGAATATGGGAAAATGAGGAAAACAAAACAAAAAAAAAACCCTTTCAGTTATGAAAACAAACACCCAATATATGCTACAAGCTCACAGCTAGCAATTTCTACCAGGAAGAACTTTGGTCTCTCAACGATAGCAAGCTTTTTTTTCCCCCTCTCTCTCTGATCCTAACAAGGCGAAAGCTATTATTTCAAAAAATCCCTGCTGTTGCAGTCTTTAGAAGATAACAAAAAGTCTTTCAAGTAGTCTCCCTCTTGACAGAAAGAAAAATAACACCATAATAAGCTATAGCTAATTTATATCTTCAAACAAGAAACTCACCCTCCCCTTTTGACTTCACAGTAAATACAGAGATCTTCTTATCCATGGAACTGTGCTTTATTTTTAAATGATGTAGAGGTAGGTCCTGACCTAATCAAACAACCAGTTGTCCTTAATTTTCTCCCCCACCTCAGGAAGAAACTGGTCTTCAGAAATGAAACCCACAATATCTAACTCATGAATAAATACTCACTCTTAACAGACATTATCAGGATTTCTTTCACTAATGGAGTTGCATCTATATATATCAAAGGGAAAGCTCTGCACAGATCACAATAATGTAGTAAAATTCATCTCCTTTCCCCAGTATACTCCAACCACCCAAGCAACTTGGCATTTGAAAGCACTGACACTCTCAGAGTACACCAAACCCCTATGACTGCACTTCACAAGCCTGACTAGCTTACCTTTGCTACTGTGGTTAGGTTGTTTCTCATTACCTTAAATACAACTGATGAGAAGTTCTCCAGATCAGAAATAGCTCAAGACACGCACCGCTGAGACTACCTCATCCACTCTGCTTGCAGATCGGTCCAATGGCCAAGCCATTAAGCAACTCAGTGAAAGCGGAGCGTTGCCTTTCCATGTACTTCCAATGATCTCTCCTCTATCATGAACTCTGATACCTACCTGATCTCCTACACTGAGCTGATTGCTGATTTAGCAAAAAATAAAATAAAATAAAATAAAATAAAATAAAATAAAATAAAATAAAATAAAATAAAATAAAATAAAATAAAATAAAATAAAATAAAATAAAATNAAAATAAAATAAAATAAAATAAAATAAAATAAAATAAAATAAAATAAAATAAAATAAAATAAAATAAAATAAAATAAAATAAAATAAAATAAAATAAAAATATTTTTCCACCAGCTTAATAAGATGAATTTGACACCTGGACCCAGATGAGCAGGACACTCAGTGCAAGATGAGCAGCAGGACTGCTCGCTCCTTTCAGTGGGTGACTACATCTCACGATGCATTGGCTGTGGTTCCTACTCCCATGAGGCTGACAGGGACAAGATGTCACCCAAAAGGATGTCCTTTCCTATTCTCCCACATCCACGTCCTCATTTGTGCCTGAGCTTACAGTACACCAGACCACAGCGCTAAGTGTTACCAACGCTAACTAAACCCTCCTCAAAAAGCAGTGGTTGTTGACCACTTCATAGCACAGCTAGAGAAATGCTGGCCAGGCACTAACCGCAGAACTAATTATAATGAAGACTACATTTACATACCTACAAAATTACATGATGCAGAACCTGAACATTTACTGCTCAGCTTGTAGCTCCTCCAAGAGCTCCAAGAGTTGACCATTTCAATCCACCTTCTCTACCCAGCAGACTCAGCACTTCTACGCAAGCAGTAGCACATTGATTGCCTCAAATTCATTGCATTTATGGCATTTGAAAGAAAGAAGAAAGTTAAGAGTACGTGAACACACAGTTCATCTGTATAAAGTTGTCTGATGCATTCCTGTATTTGCCTTTCATAAAGTTGTCTGATGCATTCCTGTATTTGCCTTTCATAAAATAATTGAGATGCAGTAACTCAAGGTCATATATCCGAATCCAAGAGAGTGATGTACAGCCATTCTGCTATACATTATCTGTAAAGAACAAAGTATCTGTTCATCTTTCCAGCATCTTATGTTTATTAAAGCAAACATACCAAAAATTAGGCCTCAATAATATGCACGACTTCTTTTCAAATAATTCGGGGAGGTGGAAATGAATGGTAAATCTGCCATAATACCTTTACGGCAGATATGSTAATTTTTGAAAACAGATTGAAGACAAAAATAAATGAAAACAATCTCTACAGATTAAAGTTGAGGTGTTCACTAGCAGCAGCAAAATCAATCTGTAGCTGTACAGGTTCCTTTCCCAGAAAACAAATTTATACAATATATCAGTACTTCCATGAAGTGTATCTTAAAACCTGTTCTGTGAAAACAATTAAAAGTACTTTAAAATGCCAGTTAGATTACAGGTCCAAATATATTCACAAATTGAATTTTCTGTAACCAACCCACACCAGAAACAATTCCTTATTAACTGTCAACAAGTAACCACAACATTTCCACAAAGCATATTTAATGAAGACTAAGTAGTTAAAAGGAATTTTATGGAAGGTAAATGTTGGTACTGAAGCTGTTCACAGGAACGGAATAAGCTATGCTATAGGTATCTAAGTAAATCTGAATTAGGGTGTGAATATTCAGTAGGAATCTGATGGAGTAACATGCAATTTCACTATATCGAATGGCAGTAGGTCTCAAACTCCCAGCTTACCCCACTATAGCTTTCCTATAGCTTTATCCAACCTATTGCTCCAACTTAAAACCACACGTCCACATAACTGAAAACAAAGCTTGAATTCCTACCATCCTACAT